CTTACAAATCACCGAAATGCCCAACAAAATCACCGAAATGCCCACACATATGTTTTTACATGATGTTTTTCATAAAAATTAATTCTTATTTTTATCATTAAAGCATAACTGACGGTAAAATTAATTATTTTCAGGTTTTGTGCTCGCGTACTTCAAAGGGCGATAACGCGTATTTGATGATAATTGTCTAGGAAGCGAGATCTACGTAGCCCAATAGATATATTTAAAATAGTAATGATATTTCTCAGAAAAAAAAAATTAAGGATGACAAGTGATTGTTACCCGTCACTGTTATTGTTTCATGACTTTTAATTATGTTCCCCAAACGAAGTTGGGGAACATATTGTTTTTACTCTGTTTCTTATTATTATTATTATTATTATTATTATTCCTGGGAAAATTTTGTCCTTGAGTGATCTTGTAAACTACACATCCGACTAAGGTAAAATGTTTTTAGGGTCAGTAGACATGTTATGTAGATTGGCCGAACAAAGGTCATTTTGCGCGCACGTGCTTGCAAGAGCGCGCACGTGCAACACGTGAAATGACCGATTTAACTTATATAGGCGTAACTTTTTAAATTTTTGATGAAATGCTTTGAAACTCATAATGTTAGGATATATTAGTAAAATAGACAAGATGACATGGTCAAAATAGCAAGATCTCACGCGCATGCACGTGCGCTTTGCTCTGATTGGCTGAAACTAAAGTCTCAATATCTTTCTTGTTTTTTGACGAAATCCTTTGAAATTTTGAACACAGCCATGCATTAGGATATCCTACAACAGGAAATATAGAAATTATCGTAAAAACACGTGCATGCATGTGGGCTGCAATCTGATTGGCTGAAACTTTAAATAGCTATAACTCCCTTGGTTTTCAACCAAACAGGATGGGATTCGGAACATAGATATATAAAATGGACTTCTACAAGAAGGTATGGTCAACATGCACATGCATACACGTAAGTGTACGTGAGCTGCAATCTGATTGTCTGAAACTTTAAACAGTTATAACTCCCTTGATTTTCAGCCAAACAGGATGGGATTTGGAACAAAGATATATATAATGGACTTTTACAAGAAGGTATGGTCACCATGCACATGCATACATGTGCGTTAAGTGCGCTGCAATCTGATTGGCTGAAACTTTAAACAGTTATAACTCCCTTTGTTTTTCAACCAAACGGAATTGGATTTGGCACATAGATCGATTTAATGAACTTCTACAAGAAGGTATGGTCATTATGCTCATGTATGCACGTGCGTGCACGTGAAATTGGTAAAATCAAAAATACACTTGAATGAGCGAATTTATTAATACTTTTGGATTAAATACTTTAATATTTAGTATATTAGGATATATAGATTGTTTTGACAAGATGATATGGTCATTACGTACATGCATTCACATGCGCATACATGCAATGCTAAAATTTGAATGATCATGGTACATTTCTGAGTAAACGTTGTTAAAGTCTCAAATGCATAGAGTTTGTGTTATTTAATGAAGCTTACAGGGAATTTGGCACCAAAAGGGAGTTGGGGAGCGTTTGGGGAACATCTGTAACGGTCCCCGTTACAATTAGCACTAGTTAATAATGTAATGTTAAAATATGGATTGTATAGGTTCCTAGTCTTAATGTTTATAGTCAAGTGCACATGCTATTATTACAGATACTTATATCATACAAACACTGTTTTTTTTAACTAGCTGAAGTTTTGGGGAAATTTGATTTGTTTAAGTTTTTTTTATTAAATGTTTGTGTCCTTTTCTTTTTTTTTTTCTTCTTTCTTCCTTTTTAATTGACTTTTTGTGAATCAGGTTGGACCATTTATACGCCTGCCGACGCCTGTCTGGGGAAATACAATGTAGGTCTGGCGGTAAAATCTAAATACCCGTCATTATTTATGGAGCAAATTTATCTTTTATTAAATATATCTAATTTTAAGGACTATAAAATTTATGTTTTACCAAACAAAATGAGAGAGAGAGAAGATACCGGTAGACCAACTCCTGTGATAATTTACGATCGATATGAAAGATTTTCAAAAGACAAATGCAATCACAAAAAAAAAAGTTTTTTTAATCTGTACTTCGTTAAGCAATAAAATGTTTTCATTTTTTATAATAAATATTTATTTTAATTTGTTACTGGCAATTGATTAGATACATTGTCAGTCATGTCAATTACGGATCGTTTCTCTTGTATATTAGCGAATATTTCGGAAGTAGCAAGTGCTTGATAAATCATGTAATGTGTGTAATAAACCCATTCAACAACTTTAAAAAAAAATAAAGTAAACTGTCAACTTTTAGTATTTCATTTTCAATTGATGTAGTAAACTGATCATTAGCAAAAGATACCCTTTTCTGTGTTTGTATAGCGCACGTGCGTAATTTCGGTCACTGATTGTCATGTACCTGATTGTGTAACATGACATAAGAGTACTACACACCTGTCACTAGATCAATTATTTAATCACTGTGTATACACAGTAGACATAATTATTATTTCAGATATCCAATTGTTTCAAACCAATTGAACATTGAACACAATAAAATCAAATTAATTTTGTCTTCGTTCTTTTTTTTTTATCTTTTATAGTAAAATATGAATCTTCCAAAAAAGTTTGTTATCTTATATATATACAAAAATGAAATAAATTCATAATTTCTATAGATTTTATTAAATTTCTTTCAATATTGCAGTTCTTTTCTGTGCTGAAATGAAAAAAAGTGTATAATGATTTATTTTCCTCAGAAATAGTGTGAACATAATGTAATGTCATTAATTTACGAATTAGATCAGCAAAACTTTAATTCATACATGTAATATTTATAATACACTATCAACCATTTCCTTCGATCCTTGTAAATTAAAAAATGTACAAGGGACATATATAAGTCCCTGATTAGGCGTAACAAAAAAATATGTTTGTTTACGGTTACCCGACCGACCCTAATTTTCATCGCCGACCCAAACTTTTTTTTCGTCGTAAAAATCCGGAAGTTACTGGCCGCGGTCAGTTTAACTTTTACATTCATCTTTGAAATCGAAATTGAAAGTACAAAAACAAAACCAGCGAGTTCAATTTCTACACCGAGTTTGTTGCAGTTTGCTTACCATTGCGTGGCAGTTGCAGGGATATGCAACTAGCATCGCCTGATGCCCGGTGCTACTGTTTTGGGGTAGTAAAAATTAAAATTATGCATATAATACATGAGAAATACAAACGGTATTTTCACTCATTGTTTTGCTATTTAATTTCCAACTAGTGCATGAAAATTTTCCAGGCAGCATGCTCCAACTGTTCTTAATTTACTTTAACCTTATCCATTTTGAAGTACTATCTGACTTATTTACTTTAAAAAAGAAAACGATCGTTTTTTCCTAATCCGAATTTCTTCCATTCCTCTGTTAATGGTAAATACATGCAGATATCTCTTTCCATTATTTACGGCCCCCCAATCAACTAATACCTAAGTGTTATGTGGTCAAACTTTAATATATTTCAATTGTATTTAATGGTTTGAAATGAAAATAAAATGATTTTGCTTCATTTTAGATAAGCTAATTTAAATTAATTATTAACACTCTGTATAGAGTTCAACTCCCTACCGGAAGAAGCTACACTGCTAGTACAATATGTTCAGAAAAGAAAAGATAATATAATTTCTTAAAATTTTTAAATTTCAACTTTAAAAGGGATGGCTTAGGACCCTGACTTTCTCAACAATGAACTTTTTACAATATTTGTTTTTACAATTTTTACCCCTATATATATTTGGGCTGCTCACTTTAAACTTCGAGCTAGTAACTTTATTGCTTACTTACAAGCCTGTGGGTTAGTACTTGATTTTTTTTAATTGCACACCCCTGAGTTGTAAGGCAGTTGGCAAGAAACCACCCATTTTTCAAGCCAAACAAAAGTAATAGGCACCATACAATGGTAAAACTGTTTTGTAATTCAATTCATACATGTGAATTTGTGTATAAAAAAATTCAATAAAATAAAAAAAATGTCCTACCTACCGACCCTATTTTATTACAGCATGTAACAGTAAACAAAGATATTTTTTTGTTTGGCCTTATACCAAGCATATAATCTTATAGTTCAGTGAATAAAAATAAATTTTGATTAAAGTCATATATGGCATATATTTTTGTTTATATACTATTTACGTAAAATCTTTCTTTTTGATTATAAATGTTACTTTCCAGTAAAATTACACATGTGTCCTCCTTTTTTAGAAATCAAGAAAATACGTCAATAATATTACAAACAAAAATTTTCTATAAGAATAACTTATTGTTAGGAATATATTTAAACGAAAAATAGGGGAAAATAAAATAGAACTATTTTGGCACGTGTCTTTAATCAGTGAGAGTTATCTTTCTTTGATACTTACATGCACATATCTTTAAATAAAAATACTTACGCTAAAATTATGAAATTTTTACTTGGTATGTAGGCTTTAGAACAGTTAATTTCATCAATATTTATTATTTTTTTGTTTATTTTTAACAATATAAGGGGCTTTTCGGTGGCATTTCGGTGATTTCTTGGGGCATTTCGGTGATTACAGGGCATTCCGGTGATTCGTAGTACCGTTTTATGGGTATTAATGATCCTATGTCTTCAAAAAATAAAGGCATAATAAAGAATAGTAGTTATGAAAACTTACTCTCAGAAGGTCTCTTTAACTAAATACGATGTAGCGTAAATTCATTCACTTTTCTAATTCTGATTTCATCCATCATAAATTATTTCCGGAAATAGACCTAGTGAAGTTTATAGAACTCGAATATATTTTTCCGGGTGAAAAAAATTATTGAAAAAAATAGATAAAGGCATAAAAAATTAATATAGAGATCTTTGATTAGCAATTTTTTTAGGAAACGGAGAAGCTTAAATAATAAATGAGTTATAATAAAATTAATAAAAAATTATTTTTTCCGGATTGAGGACATCTATTTTCAGAACCAAGCACCCACTTTCACTTTCAGTTTGTTCTTGGTCAAAATTGCATGCAATGATCAGTCATGTTTTAATGGTAAATAATACTTTGAAACAAGAACTTTACTTATTGACAAGTTTAGTATTAATTTAACCTGTTCATATTTTTATGGGAATGTTATTCTTAACATAGTTTCAGCAAGTTTTAGGCCTGGTTTAAGAATAAGAACATGCATTAGCAAAAAATATATAACAGGTTGGGACCAATCGCCCAAATGGGATATAATAGCCCGCATGGGATATAATATCCCAAATGGGCTATAAATTTACAGTGCAAAAATTGAAAATTTTTATTTTTGCAATAAATATCATAAATCCGCATCAGAACACTCAAAAAGGAATAACTTTTGGTTGACAAGTTTTCCTGTATGCCTATTGTTTAGGAGATTGATCCCTCGGAAGTTCCTTAACTTCTTGGGGATCAATCTTAAAAACAGTAGGGTTGCAGAAAAACTTGCTTACCAAAAGTTATTCATATTTACGTGTTCTGATGCGGTTTTCAATTTTTGCACTGTAAATTTATAGCCCATTTGGGATATTATATCCCAAACGGGCTATTATATCCCATTTGGGCGATTGGTCCCAACCTGTATAATTTGAACTTGTTTATGTTCCTGTTGGCAAATATTCGGGGGCATATAGTTTTTGTCTGTTAATCTATGTATCCACAAAAACGGTAACCTTGCCAATAACTTTTGATTGGATAGTAATTGGGCTTTCACATGTATTCCTTTTTATAGGTAATCTGAGATTCCTCTGACTCTAACCCCCTGATTTTTATATGGTGACATGTGCAGGGGAGAGTCAGAGCAGAGGCCATATTGAAAAGTGGGAATTCAGCGACGCCAGCTGGTGTCGCGACTCTGCCTACCTTTTACAATACAACTTTATTTCGCAGATCTAACTTCGGGGATGATTTTTCTACAACTTAGGATGCTTTTGCCATTTGTGTTCTGACGTCATGCGCAAAGAAGTGGAATGGCAAGGAGGCGACTGATGCTTCATTTGTCGGTGATAGGGCCGTCTAAATGCACATGTCACAAAATAAAAAGCAGGGGTTAGAGTCAGAGGAATCTCGGATAACATTTTAGTAAACTAACATTTGACCTCTTGACCTTGGAGTTTGACCTTTTTTATAACGTTTTTAACCATACTCATCCATGGATATCATTTTTTAACAATTGATGCTAGAGCTTCAATATTTCACAAATGTGTTCCACATGACTAGTTTTTTCTCAATCACAAACATTTTTTATCTTATTGACCTTGGAGTTTGACCTACTTTTGGAAAACATTAGCCTTGGCCATCACTTTTCGACCTGCTTCTGATAAAGCCTTCATATAAGTATATCAATGTGTATTCCTTCTGAGATGACCTTTTCTTTGATTACGAATTTTTTTACCTCCTGACCTTGAGGCTTGACATTTGGAGAGGGAGTACAGTTTACCTTGTGCACTAGTTTTTAGTTTGTACTTCAAATGTATGAAATGTTTTTCCAGTCACTTTTTTCCCAACAAGAAAAACCATTAGGCTCCTGGTATCAAGCCCTTTGGAAATGTATTGTACTAATACATTTTATATCATGACCTAAAAATTAAGCTTGATATATGAACCCTTTTGAAAACATCAACCTTTGCAATATTTTTAATGGTCATTGCAATGGCTTTCATACTTCATGAATGTATTCCTTGTAACAAGGCCTTTGGGTACCAACAATTTTGAACTCTTTACCTGTACCTTGAAGTTTGGCCTACATTTGAAGAACTCTAACTTTGGCGTTGAACACCAACAGGGAGCATTTAGTGTTTCACAAACAATTGTTGCTTGTTTTCATTATATATATTTTTACACAAAATTTCAAATGCCATTGAATATTTTTTTTTACATTTTAGTTTCATCAAATGCCAAGGTCCAGGGATAAAAATGGTAAGATCTATCTGTAGAACGTGTTGTCAGCGTCTGGATAAAAAATCAAGAAGAACAATATTTTCTCCCACATTTGGTGTCTTCCAACAGTTACATGAGGTGTTGGGTCAAATTCCACAGGAAGGCGATGGTCACTCCAGATATGTTTGTAGTCCTTGTTACAGGATTTTACTGAAGTTGTGTAAAATTGACCATGACTTGATACACAAGCTGGATGAACTGAGGCAGAGAAAGGTTGAGTTGATAAAATATCTCCGTCAAAATCTGACTTTAGACAATATTCAGTTGCCTAGTGAAAGCATGAATGTGAGTTCAAGTTTCACCATCCCTACAGATTTAACGGTAGTGACTAGCGAAGACATATTTAATAGAGAGGACAGTTCAACGAGAAGTGAGCCTTTTATACATTCACCTTCTCCAGGTAAAGCTGAGGGATGTATACTGAGTAACATGAAGCTATTTTATTAGATTTAATTACCTGTCAAGCAATTCAATTTTCATTTTCTCATTACTATATTGTTTATACGATATTGTATAGATATTGGATCAGAATCCTTGAGTAACAAAAGTGGGTTCACCCTAAACTGTAGATTCAAAGAATTTTGTACGCAAATAAGTTTATAGAATCTTCTTCATACACAAGATGTTCAAACCAGTAAAATGGTTTAATTGTCCACGTACAAGCAAATGAAAATAAATTTCCACTATAAGCTCATTTTGAAAATTTTTCTTTCATCTATCCAATGTAGAATTTGTATCTTGAATACAAATACTCTGTATTTTCAAGGTGATTTTTTTTTTGGTTAAAGTTATTATCTAGAAACAGATAGTAATATGTAATGTAGAAAAGAATTAATTTAAATCCTTTTACAATTTCAGATGCAAATTTCAGTGATGTTACGGTAAAGTTAGAGCAACAGGATGAAGAATATGAATACAGCAGTGCAGTTCAAACTGAAGCTGACAGCTTTACTATCACCATGGCTGACCCCACAGAATCGGATGAGAGCTACAATCAGCCCACTGTATCTCAATGCCCCCCGCAGGTCAGTGGAGGGAGCAATACTTCCTTCAGCATGCCCGTGATCTCCTCCCCTCCTATTGTGAATAGGGCACTTCTCAATGGAGGACGTAATGTGCTTCAATCTGCAGTAGTACCCACCGACAAACAGATTGTGTTAGTGGATAACATGGCAGTGCCAGCTTCCACAGGTACTACCATCAAACAGGAAGTGAATGAAGCAGTAGGTATAGTCAGTCGCACTATTATTGAAGTGTTATTAGCGAAATCTATAAATTTCAAAGTTCTTAAAATCATATGCTATTTGGTGGTTGAGCCACAATATTAGATGATTTACCGTAAGTTTTACAAAAGAAAAAGGAAAAAAATCTTTTCTCAGAGCTATGCTTCTATATATTTATATGGATTCATCCACAGTTAGTGCATAACGAAGTTTTTCAAATCATGGCCCCAGGTGTAGGGTGGGTAGCAATACAGGTAGGGATCAAAATGTCACATAGAAATGCATTAAAAAATTCTTTAAAATCCTCTTTTTAAGAATAGAAAAGCTGATTATAGTCATATTTATAATTATGGAATCATCCGTCATTAAATCACTATCCTCAGAAGTAGAATAGGCTCAATGCACGATCAAAGATTGACATAGAATGTAATATCAAGAAAAAAAAATTGCTTATATTAAACAAGAATGAAGGTTAGCTTTTTGGACCATGAACCTCTTATTTGACATGAAATAGATAGCTGCCATGTCCAAGAATACTAAGTGAACATTTTGAACTTTTACCTTGGTAAAGTGAATTACTGTAAAATCACATATTTTCGTGGGGTCAAATTTTTGTAGTTTGAGGAAAATCTCTTGGTTCGTGGGGATTTCATTTTGTGGATGTAGAATTGTTGAGTAGTTATGTGTGTAACATTTTACATTTCATGGCAGACATGAATTTGAGGGTCTCTTCATACCCCGAAAACAACGAAAATTACCCCCCCACGAAAATTTGTGATTCCACAGTACATGTACAATGTATATTGTAGTTCACTATATTTTTGTCAGACCTTATGTTCGCCTGATAGATATTTAGTATTTAAAAGTGAGACTATATTTTCATCCACTGCTGTTGTATATTCTTAACAATTATACAACTAAACATGAAAACTAATTTTGTGCAAGCAGACAAATTTCCCATAATTATGCAAGAAGAAATTCTTGGGCATAAAAAAAGGATTTTTACAGTAATTATATATACACTCATCTGATAGAATTTGATCTTTTCTTTTATGTTTCAGTGCTTAAAACTTTCTGAAGATGGGGAGGAGTCATTATTTCTGTCAGTAAATGTGGAGAAGAAATTATGTAGCTATGTGGGATCAGACATGGGACGACAATTTCTAAGCAAGCGGACAGATATCAAGAAACAGTTTTTCAAGTTTTGTCAAGGTATTTAGCTCTTCTGAGTCAAAGGCTCAAATGCTTATGTATTAGCTTGTTCTGTCTGAGATTTTGTAACTTAAACATGAATCAAAATGTTAATTTAAATTTCAACAATTAATGGAATTCGATCTTTATCCTCCTTTATCAATCTAGCTTCCAAGGCCGTAACTGAAGAGGCAAGGGAGGCAAATGCCTCACTAAATTTTTAGAGTTTTCTGAAGAGGGAAAAAGTTTAACATTAACTGAAGTTATGAATTATGTGTGTCTTCGTGCTAAATTAATATTTTCAACTTTTGTTTCAATTTCTGTAAATCCTTCATCTCACCAGGTACCTCATTTTCATTTAGAATGCATGTAAGATATAATTCAAAATGTTTGTTTTGTAAATTGTTTGATTGTTTAACATCCCTTCTAAGAATTTCTCATTCATATTGAGACACCACTACTTGACGGAGGAGGGCTGCAAGTTTTAAAGGAGTTTTCCACTTAAGTATAGGAGCTTGGTCCCTTTTTTCGCCCTTATTTTACACAATATACTTGAGGACATGGTATTATTTTTATTTTCATGGTGTATAACATTGTATTTCTAATTGACATGTTATAGAGTCATTATTAATGACTTTGATTATTAAGAAATATAAGCCAATTTTCAACACCTACCGCACATACAAATTCCGGAAACATTTTCTTTCGAACAGAGTGTGGTTTCTCTATTACATACAAATGGGCGGAGACATTTAAATTGGGTACTATATAAAGGATGACATGGTTAGCTGACGCGTGAAATAAGAAATAAGATACAACACACTAGTATACGAATAATCTTTAAATGAATGAGTTTGAACTTTATTTTGCATTATTCGTATTATTCCTAAATTGGTGAGGGTGAGGGGTCTTCTTTTTGTTTTTGAGGTACATGTATTTTTGGTCCGAGAATCACCTTATCACGTTAATTTTTTATCTATCATTGTTAAATAAAATGTCAAAATATTTTAACCATTATAATATTTTTTTTATGATAAAAAAGTTCAAGCGATCAAATAATAATTTACAGAAAATACACACAGAAATACGCCTCCTTTCCTTTGTAAAGGGGGGGGGTGAGAAAACATAAACAAGAATGATACAAGATTCTCGAACAAAAAGTTAATAAAACAAAAGAAAAAGAGAAAACCCTCTCAAATTTGAAAAAAAAAAAGATTAAGTAAGAGTGGGAGTCTAAATATTACTCATTTTGATTTTAAAAATTAAACATTAACATTAATGTGTTCATTTGGATCGTAAGAGCGTAAATTTTTTTTTGGGGGGGGGGGGGGACTAAATTTTTTTTCAAACACTCAACCCCTGATACTACATGCCTGACATGTATATTTATTTCTTAATTTCGCTCTAAATTCTGCAATTAATATTCCGATTTACTTATCGATTATTGATTAAAAATGACGTGTACAAATACATGTAATATACGTGTATAAACACTTCAAAAACAGTTGTTAGAATAAAAGAAACATAATAATTATTATTAATATCTGCTATGAGAAATATCAGCCTGATAATGCAGTAAAAAAATTATGTACAGGAATGCAGTGTCGTCGATTTTGTCATTTAATTGAATGACATAAGGTAAAGTGTATAACAAATCATCAAGTGGGATTTATTATACTTCACAAGGATTTTCTTTTTTAAGAAATATCACAAGATTGGTAAATGAAATTCAAAACCAATAGTCATTTTCTTCGTTGCATTAATACATTCGAAGTTTTTCCGATTTTATATGCGCCCCAAAACGTAGCAAGAGTGTAAGATTGCTTTGAATATTGAAGTGGTCATGCAGTATAGTGCATTTGTTTAGATTGAATCAATGTGAAAAAATTGTTACGTCTGTGGCATTTTTATTTGTTTCTTTTTTTGCAAGAAACGGATTACATCTGTATTTATATACATCTGAATACTCATATATCGATTTTTGTGCTGTTTGTAATGCCCAGGAAAATTTTTATTACATTCGTGAGAATTAAAATATGTCCCGGAAAATCATCAAAGTAAGCGGTAGTCTGTAGAGAACCTTGTTTTGAATTTTTAAAGAGATAAAAGCTAGTGACTGCACTTTTCAAATACGAGCTACATGTGTCACTTCTTACAGAAAACACGTTTTCCAGAGATATTCACCTGTGTTGGTATGGAATCACGTGACATATTATCTATTCTTAGCAGGTCAACAAGAGGTTAATCCTTTGTAAATGTACTCACCGAACAGATTCAAAATCATGATACTTTTCAGTAGAAAACATAGAGCGCAATGTTGTTCAACAAAAATATTTTCACATAAGTTGTATAAATATAATATGCACATTATATATTGATCTCGACTTTGAACAAATCTGCGCTTGATGTTAACGAAAGCTGTGAAGTGGGTACCTGTCACAAATTTCTTTTCATATTCATGAAAATCAAAGGACCCCACCTTCAAAACACGGCTTGGCGTGTTGTCTATTGTAATTATTATATATTTTTAAACGTTGGCACAAATGGTACAGACATAAGAGAAAAATAAATTTTACTTTTTAAGTGTCTAAATGAAAGTTTAAAATTTGACGAGTAACCGGGGACCACAGATAATGCCTTATTGAGACTTCTTCTTTGCACTGAAGATGATTCAACAATGAGAGATCTTTTTGTGCCATCATTTACTTCGACATAGGACCTCGGTTTTTACGGTCTCATCCGAAGGACCGGTCTCTACATCCCGCAGTGGGATTCGAGCCCGCGATGAAAGGACTGCGACTCTATAGCATACGCTCTAACCACTGTGTCATGCGGACGACAATACAAAACGTACGAAATTTTAAAGATTAAATCTTTTATTTTCTAATACCTAGGTCTCAGGATCCCCCTCCCCCTGTGAAACCCCATCACTAGCCATCAGGTACAGTGTGTACTACCCTTATGGGACTAGGATGGCCCAGCACTCTTGCCTCACTAAAATTTTTAGCCTAGTTACGGCCTTGGCTTCCATTCACCTCCATTTGTCCAAATTATGCTCTCTAGTTTGTATACAAGTTTCAAAACTATTGCTCATATACTCAACTATTTTGGCACATGCTTTTATAAGTAATTAAACAATTTTTACAAGTGACAGTTTTCAAATATTTAAAGACAGTCAGGGAATACTCTATACCATAGTACCGGTAGTTCTAAAGACTAACAGATTTGATATAGACTGACTTTGCTTATTATTCCACACATAGTCCAGCTGTCAAGGCAGTCAGTTGGGTCACAATTTGGTTAGAGTATGCAAAGGGGCTTGATTGTGGACCCCCACCCAAGAATTTTTTTTTTCAAATGTAGAAGCAAAGTACGGTACTGGATTTCTACTTAAATCTGTTGTGGTGAACATTTTATGACAAAGGACAAGATAGGGTAAGGGCCGAATCTGGCCCCTTATTTCATGTAAAATCAGAACACTGGTAAAATTGTGATATTTGTAGTGAAGAAGTTAAATTGATGCTTACTTAAAACAAGCACTAATTTAGATTTAAAGCTTACATGAAAGCCACAAGAGGGTGCAGAAGAAAGACATTTTCCAGAATTTACTCAATTCTGGTGGAATTTCATCATATTTGAGATACTTTTCTCTTCGGAAAACATAGAGAACAAGCTTGCCTATCTGAGATTTTTACACGTAAACTGCATCTGATATTAGTGTATAAAATATATAAATTTGGTAGATAGGCAAGCGTGTGCTCTATTTTCCGAAACAAAATATGCTGTAAAATCAATGAACATTTGCATTAAAATGAGAAATTTCGAAAATTGACCTATTTCCTGACCTCTCTGTGACCTCTGTATATTCTAAATCTTAGAACCAATACTCATTTTCTGGCAGGGGTGACAACAGGTTTTTATGCATAAACTGCTGCATCATTCTGAAAGACACCCAAAATCGGGGGCCAAATACTGCTCTTACCCTATGTTGTCCTTTCAGCTTGAGACTGTTTTTAAGGATTCTCAATCAAACCACATAATATGCCTTATTGAATATTTTACTATTTCAAATTTTTGTGTTTTGATTTTTTTCCTTGTCAAATCCTTTTTAGAAGTTTTGGACTACCTCTCATCATGGTGTAGATGTGTATTTGAATAGTGTCATTTTAGTATACTTACATACTTTTATATTAGGAAAAAAAATCAAAACACCTTCATTAAACAGAATATATCAAATTTTGTCACTACAGATATATATAATGCGGAGAAAGGATACAAAACCAATGAAACAGCAATGTATGATGAGGCAACGCAAGAAAACCCAGAACCCAAGCAAGATGCAAATCAAGGTAATATCCGTCAACAAAAAGGTCCACTTGGCACTCAACAACCAGAAGCAGGAAAGGGCAGGGAAACTGTACCTATGACAGGGAACCAGCTTTATTCTATAGCACATCCTTCATCTGAAACACAGGTACCTTATTCTCCACCAGCTGCTAAAACAAAGGAAAAACAAAAAAGAAAAATAACTCCAGCAGATAGTTCTGATGATGAACCTCTGGAAAAGAAGCCATCACCTTCAGGTGTAGATAAGCCATTCAGAAAGAACACCAAAATGTTAAATAGAGGAACAGCCAAGTCAATGTCTGTGACATTACAACACACACAAGAAGATAGATCTGACTGTGGTTCAAACCTCGTAATTATAGACATGTCATCACATGCCTCTGCACTGACACAACAATCCAGAAAGATTCACAAAACTGGGAATAAAGGCTCCACTGTGAAAAAATCCTCTAGTTCTGGAGAAAATCTGAAGAAGGTTGTGAAGAATTCCTTGCGAGAGAAATCAGCCACATTCATAACCAAGAAAGCTAGAAAAATGGTAGGTATTTTTGCTCACTGTCTGTGACAAAATTTTCACTTTATCATCTTCAAAGTTGGTATAAAGCATCCTTGCGTGGAGGGGAATTTAAATGCTTAAAATAAAGAGCCCAGCCCCCTTCTAAGGAGAGATAATAGAAAAAAATATAAAGATAGGGTGGGTTCATTAAAAAGAATTCTTCTCAAGAACTACTGGGCCAGAAAAGCTGAAAGTGGAGGGTAGAGTGGGCCACAATAGAGAATCAAAGTTTATATATTGAAATATAAAGGAAAAACAATTTTCTCAACAACCTCCGGGACAGAAAAACACAGAGCGTATGTGGAAGCCTTCCTAGGGTAGTGTAGATTCTAAACTGTTCAAATCATGGCCCCTTTGGGTAATGTGGGGCCACAATGAGTATTACAGGGGGAAACTTAGTGAAGAACAGCAGGGCAAAAGTTACTCAGGTGAGCAAAATGACCCATGGGCCTCTGTTTAATTTAGTTGAAATCATTTCCATTGTAATTGATGAAACAAGCAGAATTTTAAATGACTTGATGGCAATTTCTTTATGATAAAGAATAATTTCATCTTTTGAAAATGACATTTTTTTATCAGGTGAAAAGAACCAAAAAGAAACCTGTAAAACACAGTAAAAACAGCTTTCAAGAAATTAAAGAAAAATCTGAGTCTCCCCCAGATCCACAAAAAAACACTGCATCAACTCAAAAACCCTGCAGCTTCAGACAGCAAACAGAGAAAAAGAGATTTGGAGATGATCCTACTGAAGATTTGGGAAAAGATCTGAGGGCCGGGACAAAATGGGAGGGAGAGGAAAAGGATAATAACAAGGCTGTTATTTGTCAAGGTGAGTTTGTAATCTTTAATTACCTGCTTTCCTATATATTGTAGATATCAAAATTTGGGTGATGCCTTATTTTTGTAAGATAACTATTAGGTATTAATTTGTAAGTACACTCTGTTAGACAATTTTTTGTGAATACAATGTACTTTTATTCCTTACTGTATCACATATTAATTTAGCATTACTAGCAAACTTAGTGATTTGATTATAAAATTTAATAAGCAATTTTAATTAGTATTAACACGATAGATATTGAGTGATTTAAGGAATAACTCTTAAATATTTTTTGAACAATTCAGTTTTATCTTGAATTAAAACGGTGTTTTTTGTTTGAAGGCAACTCACTTCACCAGTGTGACGTTTGTAAAGATGTTTTCCTCCAAAGGCAAGATCTTCTAGATCATGTGACAACACATACTAAAACATTACCTTATGTAAGTGTAAAATCCATACAGTAAAGCACATACTCATTGCCAGAGCTTTATCATTTGCTTAATTTCATAAGATCTTGATAATAAAATACTGTAAATGTATTATATTTGGCATGTACGATATTTGGTGGAAACTGGCTTTTGAACAAGTTAGGGTAGATTTGATTTAGCGCATTTCTTAATGTTCTTACTTATGAGTATATGTGCAAGACATTTAGCGTTGTACTTGAATTAGCAAAAGTTTCTTTTCGCCAAAGGCGCTAAAAAGAATACACAGCCAAATATAATACGTTTACAGTATATTGTTGTTAGCTCACCTGAGCTGAAGACTCAAGAGAGTAGTAAGGGAATTAAACGTTGAAGATATTGCAGAAAAACGATCAAACCCTTCTGACATGAATTATGTATTTATTGATCTCCAATTGCTGAAAGGTTAATTTCTGCATTGACAAACAAAGAAATCCATCCCACAATCTTACAAATTATCACTTCAGTATTATATTAGTACTTGTTATGAAGATACTATTTGTCTTCTGTGTTTTTAGATCTGCATAGAGTGTGGAAAAGGATTCGAAAAGAAATGGAAGCTGGATCTACATACAATGTCCCATTTGTCTCACCATCCCTTCCAGTGTGATGTTTGTGGAATGTCCTTCAAAATGGAGGCAATCTTGCGTACTCATCAAAAGCAACATAAAGAACTAGAACCTTTCAAGTGTAACCACTGCCCTCTTAAATTCAAATCAAAAGAAGAATCCAGAAATCACATGCAGCAAGAGCATAAAATGTCAGAAAAACATGAAATCATGAAACTAAGAGTTTATAAATGTGAGTATTGTAACAACTTGTTTTACTCAAAGGACAGTTACTTGGAACATGTTCAGATTCATAGTAAAGAAGAGAGTCCCCTTGTCTTCTGTGATACATGTGGGAGGTCGTTCACAAATCTAGCCACACTTAACGTCCACAAAAAGACCCATCTGGACAAACGACTTCACTGTGACATATGCAACTTTTTCTTTAAAGATGCCCACCAACTGTCAAAACACTTTCAGACAATGAATCACAAACTGAAGGTTGAGCAGATCAACCACATCAAGCACTTGGAGGAAACAAGAGACACAGTGAATGAAGCAGAGGAAACAGGGGTTGTAGACAGTGTCTCTATGTTATTGGAGGAGATAGACAAAGGGTCCCTCAAAGAGATGCCAGAGAAAACACAACTCCATCTCGGTGATGGAGTAGCGGAGAAAACAGCTGATGATACCATAGAGGATGATAGGCTCCAATAGGGGGAAAATAGTGGAACTGAGGGGCCTCTTTAAGTTATATACAGACATTTGAGACACTGGCACTTAAATTTGTGTTCCTCAGTGGTTCACCTGGGAAGCCATTTCCAAAACTTTTGTGTAAAGTTTTGCAGAGTGCCGTATTATCCAACTAAATCAAAGAAGAAAAATTAATATCAATGTCTAAAATCTTCTTTTACATTTACAATAATAAAATGTTTAAATGTATGTTTAAGGATTTTTTTCTGTAGAAAGACTTTGTTGTGTATTATAACAATAAAGAGAGGATTTCTGATTGAAGAAAAGTTGATGGTAGAAGTCTCTGTATTATACATATACGTGCAAGAGCATATGAGTTTTATTAAATTTAAAATGTTAACCTGTTATTAGTGTCATTTTTTAAGCAATAACATATAAAGTTAAGTAATTCAGATAATATATACATATTTGTAAAATTCTTTCAAAACATGAATTGTTCTTCATACACTTTTGGTCCAGTTTTAGTCAGACAAGTGTTATATAAGTATAAAGCTTTAAAACAAATGAAATACGAAAATATATAAATAAACAGAAAGCAATACAAATTAGGAGCAGTGAAATAAACACAGACCTCTATAAGAAACATTCAAGGCAGGATCAGGTACCATAGAGGGGTGAGCATCCCCTGTCCAATGCTCACACCCACTATGCATGTGCTCCTTGTCATGATCTGACGAATGCATCAGTCTATAGGCAGTTCAGTAAATAATGGTCTAGACTAATAATTTGTATGAAAAACAGCAGCCAGCAATTAATTGACTTAATAATAGATGGGATTTGCTGACAAAGTCATTATATCAACCATAGAAGTTGCAAAATGTTGACTATAAGAATATTGATACAGATCTATAATTAGGACCCTCAGTTAACTGTGTTTATTTTCCCACTATTCATTTTTCAAGAAAATTTGAGGAAAATACCAGTAGTTATATAAATAATAATTTCTATTGCTCTTTATATTCCTCTGTACTGCAGAACAAAATGCTGTTGATAACAAAGACCAGAGAGCATTGGTCTGTATCATGTTTTTAAAGAATAATAGTAATAAAAAAATTCCCAAAAGGTTGCTATTTTCCCAGTATTTATGACCCAGCCATTATCCCCAAAAGAAGAGCCAGAGCCCTGTCAGATGTCATTGTTTTATCAACTTGTTTTTCAATAGCTTGCCTTGTTTTAGGAATATATTGTTCATTACATACGGCATTTGTAGCTTATCAAATCATCTAGCTGGGAGAAACAAAATCCATATGTAAGCTTGTGATTAGGGTTTATTGCTTCATATTTAAGGAAAGTTGGCAAGAGAAAAGTTGAAGTCATTACTTTTATCATTATGTTTAGTTTTGTTGTAATTTAAGTTACCATTTATTAATAAACTGTCAATCTAATCCTTTAATCTGCTCATGTATTGCTAAACAAAGATCTGAACTTCGAAAGAAACCCCATTCAGGATGCAGAATTATCTTAAAAGAAACTTAAGTCATATTTTATCCTCCTCCTCATTCACATTTATATTATCATGTTTAATATATCTAATATTGGTAATTATATGCAGAAAAAAATTTACTGGTCAAATGATTCAGATCCTGAATAGTTATTTATTACAATTCATATCCGTTTTGATTTTATTTTATTTGTTTATATATTAACAAGATGGTACAGTAACTTTTGTTTATTTAATAACAAGTCTAATGGAGCAAAAGGTCTCGGTGCGAATTGTAAATGGGGCGAAACGTTCTGTTACCTTTGCCTTGAAATAGTAAAATTCAAAAATATTTTCCGGATTGATTTAACATGCGTGAAAACAAAAATAGAAAGCTTTATCTTTAAATTTAGTCTCTTGTAATATAAATAAGTAACAGATAAACTGAAATGACTCATGAACATCAAAAAATGAAACACGAAATATATTCCGGATTTAATAGACTTTTTCTGATCCTTTTCCGTTTAGTTCTTCCCAGTCGTATTCGATCTATTTCCGGAAACAACTTGGAATGTGGCGAGGTGTTATTTGTGTCCAGTTTGCAGTGATGTTGTTATGGAGCTGAAATAACCCCATCAGCGGTACGATTACATGTTTAAGAACCAAACTTTAATGATATTTTAACACATTTGACGATTTCAATAGCTTGGCGAGCACACGATCTCGCTGATTCGGTAGATTTACTTGCAGGAATGCTACCGCGCGTCCTTGACACGCTTGGTATAATTATAGCCTCGATAGCGTGTTGTGAGAAGACGATCGTCTTTGAATAAAAGGGCAGCTGTTTTGTGTTAACTGCTAGAAATCACGTTGTGATTAGGCCCTATATGCTGCAGAAAATTCTGTCCAGTTTAACTCTTTGTTCAGTTTATATTTATTTTTGGCGGTTTTTAAAATGCACTTGATATGAGCACATTCAAATGTAGGTCAAATCATGGTGACGTGATGGTCATGAGATGAAATTCCGACCAAAAAATCTTATTTAATATCAAATATTGATAATGCAGTGTCTGTACCTTTGCTTTCTCTCTTATTCTTACATTAACTGTGCACCTTTATTCTTTTTTTTTTTTTTTTAAACATGATGTAGAACTTTTCAAACTTTCTTATTCAGAGATTTTATGAGGAGGGTGAATATTGTCTCAAATAAAAATAAAGATAAAATTATGGCACAATCAATTTGATTTAAATATATCTTGATTCAACTTTCAACAATTTATGATAGAGATCGAGGCCTGTTCAGCTGGGCGAACGTTCGCGACCGCTCGCCAAAATTCCTTATACCTCCAGTAGTAATTTTGGTGAGCGCACGCGAACGTTTGCTCTGTTGAACAGGCCTCAGATGTTGACTCCAAAAGATGAAACATTGCCCGATGTGAAGTGGAGGCCCTGGGCAATATTTTCATCCCGAAAAGGCTAACATAATTTTGCCCAAAATACAGTCAATGATTGTTTTGTTGTATGAAAAACAAAATCGTTAAAATATTATTAATATTTTGGACCATCTTTAAAAACTTGTATGGTTGCCCTTTCCTGACCAACTGACCAAAAAATGGCCGACTCAAAACTTTTTTTTACATTCCAGGACATAATATTTTTTCTTTTTATTCCACTCATCCTGTCAACAAATAAAATGAAATTTTCTGGAAAAAAGTTTTTTTTCACCAACCTATGGACCCAGTAGTTTTTCCCTGAGTCGGGAGAGGGCAAACAAACAATTAATTATTTTAATGATAGCCTTGTTTTAATAAATCATCTGCATCTTATATAAGTTCAAGACCTATATAGTGAATTTTGCCTTATTTGTTAATGTTAATTTTAGCTATCTTCAAAAACCAATTTAAGATTGTTTTAAGTTGGATGAAGAGCAGATGGGCACTGACCAGCCCAAGAAAAGATTTCCAAGGTTATATCCGTGAGACTGTTACATATGCAGACATTTTATATCAACAAGCAACTGAATCTTGATTATTTAAATCAACAAAAATATTTTTTTCTGCATTTTTATTGTCAATGTCATTGTTTTTTTCTTTTTATTCCAGAATGACCCACCTTCTGTAATTTGATCACTGTTGTTCTCAGAATGGCTGAGAATTCTACAGGTAAACTGATATATTAATTATTTATAGAACTAATAATTAATCTACATATGTCATTTTTATAACAGTATATGTGCAGATTGTTCAGGTTTGTTATTGTCGTAATGTTTAATTAGGGCCCCGTGATCAGTCTGTCCGTCCAAGATCTCTTGTCCGGAGCATATCTTCTCTCTCTTTGGCCCAATCTGGCTCATTCTTCACCCACAGAGTGCCTTTGGGTAACCAGTGTGCAGTGACCTTGAACCATGTTTCTAGGTCAAATGTCAAGGTCATAGCTGAATTTTATGAAAAATCCTTGTCCAGAGCATATCTTCTCTCTTCTAGGCCCAATCTGGCTCATACTTCACCCACAGAGTGCCTTTGGGTAACTGGTGTGCAGTGACCTTGAATCATTTTTCTAGGGCTAAGGTCAAGGTCATAGCTGAATTTTATGAAAAATCCTTGTCTGGAGCATATCTTCTCTCTCCTTTGCCCAATCTGGCTCATACTTCACCCATAGAGTGCCTTTGGGTATCCGGTGTGCAATGACCTTGAACCTTGTTTCTAGGTCAAAGGTCAAGAACATAGCAGAATTATTTGAAAAATCCTTGTCCGTAGCATATCTTCTCTCTCCTTGGCCCAATCTGGCTCATACTTCACTCTCAGAGTGCCACTGGTTAGCTCACCTCGACGAAGTGCTGGATCTGACCTACATTTTCCAGATGAGTGACCAGGTTAAAGTCTTAGGAGCAGGTCCATTCCCAAGTAACTATATGCCCTACCCAGACCAAAATTGCATGGATGATGCATCTATTGATAAACACTACCAAATTTCCTTCGGATGCTGGATCTGACATACATTTTCCAGATGAGTGACCAGGTTAAAGTTTTGGAAGCAGGTCCTTTCCCAAATTACTATAGGCCCTACACGGACTAAACTTGCATGGATGATGCATCTATTGAGATGGACACTACCAGACTTACTTCGGGTGCTTGATCTGACCTACATTTTCCAGACAAGGGACAAGGTTAAAGTTTTTGGAACAGGTCAATCCCCAAAGAACTTTAAGACCAGTTTAAACAGAACTAGTTTGAATATTGTTGTCGGAATAAATACAAACTGTTAAGAAAAAAATATGATGTGAGATTTGCATTACTTAAACTTACAACATTCGTCGAGGTGAGCTTCGTAATCTTTGATTACCTATGTTCAATGGATGTGCAATGACCTTGGTCGAAGTTTCTAGGTCATGGTCAGAATTAGCTTCTCTGTTTAAAATCTTTGTTTGGTGCATAATTTTTTCCCCTTCATTCCAGTAAATTTATATAACTGGGGATACAAGATAACTTCGATATATATCTGTAAATTCGCAATATCCGTGAAGTCGTACTAAATGATACACAAATGTTCCTCTTCAAAATAAACCCTTTTTAACTACCTTGCATTTTCATGTTCATTGTTGAAAGCGGGGCCCTTTGAGATGGCCACCATCTCAATGATATCTAGTTTCTAATCGGTTATGAATGTTTTAAAATTTGAAAAGAGTTTAGAACTACATTTGGTAGGAACATGTTTATTAAAGGAAAAGTTTTCACATACAATGCAAATACTTCTGCACCTTTTATTAAAATTAATAAAATAATTCTGAAAAGTATGCAACAATAATTTTGTGATTCCAGATACAAATTACAGTGAGGTTTCAGTCAAGGTAGAGCAGGTAGACCAAGAGTATGAATATGGTGGTGCACTTCAAACTGAAGATGACAGCTTTACCCAGATTAAGACGGACCCCTCAGAACCGGACGAGAACTACAGTCAGCCCTCTGTATCTCAATGCCCCCCGCAGGTCAGTGGAGGGACCAATACTTCCTTCAGCATGCCTGTGATCTCATCTCCACCTATTGTGAACAGGGCACTTCTCAATGGAGGACCTAACATGCTTCAAACAGCACAGCAAGTACCCGCCAAAAAACAAATCGCAGCACTGGTTAAGGTGGCAGCACCAACATCCACGGGTACTAACATTAAACAGGAAGTGGATAAAGCAGTAAGTATAGGCCTCCAGATTTTTCACAGTTTAATAATATAATTCTAAAAGCTCTAACTGATTGATCAGTGAAATTTTCATTACTTTCTAAAAGTAGGCAGGTGTGTTACTGTGTGTAACATTGATTACGAAAATTTTATATGTAACACCGGGCTCAACACTTGTCTGATTTTCCATGTCCTGTTCATTTTGTAATCAGGCAAGTCAATTTCTAGACACAATTTTGTCAGATCTGACAAGTTCCTTTTTCTACCATTATGGAATATTATGAATATAAAAGAATCTTACAGAATCCTTAAAACACTACAATCACAGAAATTCAATGTCACTGGGTTCACAGGTGCATGAAAGTCAGTCAATATATTGGGTTTCAATATTCAATAGCTCAGTGGTTAGAGCACTGGCACTGTACGCCAGAGGCCCATGTTCAAGTTCTGTTTTGGGTATGATCGCGATATTTTTGACAGATTTATGCCCCTTGGACTTGGAAAAGTTCTGATTTGGGGGAGGGGGGCATAAGTGTTTTACAAACATTCTTGATTTAGTGAAATTCCTTTAAAACACCACTCCTGCTACAATTTTGGTCTAATTTCAATCTAACTTGGCACACAAGTAGACTACACTAAGATTTCTATCAGTTTTTGTTTTCAGTTAATGTTGTTGCCATGATTACTAAAAAAAAATTTTATAAATACATTCAAACTGTTACTCTTCCTTCAGTTTTAGTTTGATTTTATTATAATTTGGCACAGTAGTAGACTACATTAAGAGATTTGATTTTATTTATTGCTATCAGTTGCAAAGTTTCAAATCCAAGTGTCACTTTTAATTTTACATACAGACCAGTAGAGCTACAGTCTCATCAGAGGCTTCTAATTTTCCTAGTCTTTACTTTTATGATGTTAAATGTAATGTACTGTCAGATTATTTTTCTTTATGTTTTAGTGCTTTAAGCTGTCTCAAGATGGGGAGCAGTCATTATTTCTATCAGTAAACGTGGAGAAGAAATTATGTAGCTATGTGGGATCAGACATGGGAAGACAATTTCTAAGCAAGCGGCCAGATATCATGGAACATTTTTTCCAGTTTTGTCAAGGTACAGTAATTCTGTTTTATTAGATCCATACTGATGAAAGGTTATTTTAAAATCATTTTTTATCATTTTATATTATAGATTATACTAAGTCTTAATGAATTACCAAGTCCCCTCTGAATTTTGTTGATCAAAAGATTTTAAAAGTGCCTGAGATAAGAGATTGTTCATTTTTCTTTTCTAAACGTCTCCACCTTCCCTGCCTTTTGTGTAGTAAAGGAACCCTCTGATTAGTCCATCTTTTGTGTTTGGGGAAAGAGGGGTGCCTTTAATTTTTACTTTTAAATATGCAACTATTTCTCTGCCTTTTAGCACATGCTTTATAATTTCAATCTTATTTCAATTTAAGTAAATTGATGTTAATAATGCCCTTTCTGTAAATGGCTTGGTTGTCACATATTTAAAGATTATATGTTGATATTAAGTTTTGTGAAAAATGTGAAACAAATACAACATACAGGTTTTTCCAAATCTAATAAATTTATTGATATATCTTTACATATTTTGTAGATTTCAAATAAACGTGGTTTTCCGATCACAAATCTAAACTTGTTTGTTGTTTTTATTCCACAATTAGAAAGAGAAAAAATAAAACAAAGACAAAAAGCAATATCATATTATGATGTTGGTTTTTAGATTTTCTACGAAATCAATATGAGGCTGAAAGCACAATTCCTGAACATCCAACATCACAATATATGAAGCGAAAACGAGAGGAAAATTCAGATCTGGATCAGCCGAAGAAAAAGCGGAAAAGAAGCAAGAAAGACGGCCCAAAAGACAATGATGAAAACTCATTGGATTCTCTTCCAGAACAAGTTAGGTTTGCAGAGTTAGTGTTCACTGAGGGATATGAAGAGAGCTTTGATAGTTCCTACAGTGTTCTAGAGGGAATGGAACCAAATCTAGAGGGAAGTTACCAGATAAGCTACACAGACACAGGAGATGTCAGTATGACAGAGAGTGTAGAAAATTCCACCGAAAACGATGGGCCTGACCCATTGCAAGACTTTGTCAGCAATTTAGTAACAGCGGCTCCAAAAGCAAACAAAAAGAGGGGCACATATAAAGTGTACAGTGCAGACCTGAGGGCCAAGATAGGGAAGCATGCTGCAGAAAATGGAGTAGCATCGGCCTGTAGAATGTTTGGGGTTAAGGAGAGCACAGGGAGAAGTCTGAAAAAAGCCTACTTAAAGGCTCTAGAAAAGGAACCATCAAAGTGTATCCTGCAGCTGCCGAAAAGAGACAAACCAATAGGAGCACCAGAAAACCCTTCCACCGATACTGAACAAACAGAACCAAAGGCTGAGGATGAGGAATCAGAAACTCCTTCTCAGAGTTCAGTTGGTGATACTCTAAATGACAGTCTAAATGATACTCTTGATGAAAGTATAGCAAACAAAATCAAAGAAACTGTGGCTGAAGTATTCAATAAAGACACAACTGAAAATGCCGAGAATGTAAAGGAGAATGAGAATCAAGATATTCTCCAAGACTTTGTCAGTAATTTGATAACTATGGCTCCAAAAGAAAACAAAAGGGAGAAGAGAGGAAGCTACAAGGTGTATAGTGCAGATCTGAGGGCTAAAATTGGAAAGTATGCAGTGGACAATGGTGTGGCTTGTGCATCAAGATTCTTTGATGTGAGAGAAAGTACTGTTAGAAGTCTTAAAAAGGCTTATCTGAAAGCTATAGAGAGTGATCCCTCTAAGGATATATCAGAACTCCCTAAAGGTGACAGGGGACGACCTCTTGTGTTAGGGAAGTATGATGAAGAAGTCCTAAGACATGTGAAAAAGATTGAAGCTGATGGAGGAATTGTGAACTCATGGATAATTATGTCCATATCTAAAGCTGTATTAATGCATAGACAGAAGTCACTCCTTGCAGAGTTTGGAGGACCAATTGATATTACAAAGACTTTAGCCAAATCCATTCTTAGACGGTTTGGATATTCCAAAGCCAGAACAAACAAATCCTTCCCCAAACCTCTGCCATCTAATTTCAGTGAACTTAAAACAACCTTTATGTCCAATGTAAGTGAATATGTGAAAGAGTTTTCCATTCCAAATTCTTTGGTGATATTTGTTCATGAATCCAGCCTTCCCATGGTTCCTGGTGGGAACTGGAGCTTAGAAAAGGAAGGATCCCGCCAACTTAACATCCCAGGGATCGAGGACAAGCGTCAGATGACCATTGGTCTGGCCTGTTCTGCTGGAGGGCATTTACTGGAACCACAGGTCATCTATAAAGGCAAGACGGAGGCCTGCCTACCCAAGTACCAGTTTCCTGAGGGATGGGTTGTCAGCCAGTCACAAGATTTACTGCCCAATGCTGATACAGCTAGAGGGTATGTCACTGATTTTAAAGAAATAATTCCACAGTAAACATTGAATTTTATTTATATATTTTATGAATATAGAATGTTTTAAGAACAAATATAAGAGATAAAGTAAAAAAAATGAAAGGAAAGACTCAGATAAATATTGTACACAAGAACAGATTACAGAAGATGCACATATATTACAAATTGTTATTCAGACATACTTTTGAATTGATTTTCAGCTTCCTGAGTTCCACAATTATTCCATACATCTCCTCTCAACTCACCGAGGAAAAGCCAGAACAGCGGACACTGCTCATCTGGGATCTCTCTAACCAACAGAGGGAAAACGAGGAATTCAAGGACCTGTTAAACCGAAATAACATTGATGTCATAAACGTTCCACCTAACTGTAAAGAGCACCTGCACCCACTGGAGAGGCTAGTCAATCAGCATTACATTGCGTTACTGGAGAAGGAATTCCAGTCCTGGTATTCTGACATTGTGTATGAACGCCTGAGAGGGGGTGAAACTGATGACAATATGGCTACCATGGTTGACCTACGACTTTCTCTCTTGAAACCTGTACATGCAGGCTGGCTAGTCAAATCTCACGAGACTGTTAAGAGTAATTCAGACATTGTATCACAAAGCATAGAACTCACTGGAATTTTACACACATTGTCAGAATTACAGATGAATGTTTAAAAGGAATAGACTTTTAGAATACTCAAATCATGTAAAGATGTTGTCATATATGGCTTATTGATAAAAATGTTCGATATACTAGTAGTTTCCTATGTACAAATGTACCAAACATTTTCCTTTGGTTTTTGAATATTTTTTGAATATTTAAATTTTAAAATGAATTTTTGTATGATAGACTAAAATTGATTTGAATAGATTTTCTATGTGGTATGTACATGTATTTTGTGTTCATATACAAATTTTGCAGGCAATTTTGTCAAATATACAGTTTGTTTCTTACAATGTTCAAATAATTTAAACAATGTTCTACTTCTATCTGATTTATATTTGCTTTTCATTATTGAAATCCAGAATAAATATGTTCGAAATTGAGGTCTTCATTCAGCAAAAATATACAAATTTAAGTTGTTTACATGTAAATGTAGGGCCAAGTCCGCTTTTGCAGGTAGATTTATATAAAAGATTGTGAAGATTAAATGACATCTTTTAAAACCTTGTCAGGAACCTCACTCTTGGTCAGAGAAGTTGAATTTTATATGAAAGCTTCATTATATAGACTAGACTTAAGTTGTTAAACTCATGACTATCTGGAAGTGTTAGAGCATAAAATGATCAAGGTTTTGTTTAGAAATATATAGCTGGTAGGTGGAAAAAAATCTTTGAAAAATCTTCCTGAAGCACCACTAGGCCACGAAAGTTGAAAATATCTGGACATAGCAATAGATTCAAGTTTGTTCAAATCATAGGGGTATTGTGGGATCACTTTAAGTGATCGAGGTTTTACATGGAAATAAAGATTGGAAAATCTTTATAAATTTTCTCAATAACAGTAAAGACGTTTTATCTTAAAACACACTGACTTATAACTAAGTGCTAAGGGACAGACTATTTTGCTTCATTAAAAACATAATTTGTTATATATCCTTAACCCCTTACATGGCATATACGCATTTCTACGCATCTGACTTGAAAAACGAGTATAGTGTGAAAAACATTAATAACTTCATTAATACTGCAAATATCAGAATAAATCTTGCACCGTTGGAAAGAGAAAATAATTACAATAAAATAAAATTTATTTAATTGGTTGTACTAGTTTTTTGCTAGCTTGAGTTAAACTTTGCACACTATTTGAGCGATTTTGCCATTATCAAACTCAATACAGGGGTAACACGTAATATGTAAAAATGCTAAATTCTGGTGATTACCTTCCAACCCCACCCCATCCCCTCAAAATACTTAAAATTGGTTTGTTAAAAAAATGTACAACATGCTCATAACTATCAAAACAACAATAAAATATATTTTGATATATTTAACTTTAAGCAAAAAAACTAGAATGAAACTCATTCTTGAATAAATGGAAATTCCAGTATGATTATGGTTTATTTCGTTGCCATGGCAACTGAAATGAAATTTTTATAACCATATTCAGAAACTACAGAATACCTGCTTTCAGAATATAACATTGATATATACAAAAAATTCAAGAAATATTAAAAAAAAAATGCATTGAAATCTTCATATCAGTTTGACTAGAAATGCTTAAAATCTTTGCCATGGAAGGGGTTAAAGGTCACAATACATTTAAAAACCAAGGAGAATGAAAATAACTTCTCAATAAGCATCAATTTATCATAAGTGTGTTCGTTATAACCATGGTTATCTGTAGTCAGATTAATAAGAAGGCAGATTAATAAGAAGGCAGATTAATAAGAAGGCATCTTCAGGTAGTTTAGAATAAAGTTTGTCCAAATCTTGACTCGCAGCTATCCCACTCACAACCAGTGGATAAATGTTTTATTATACTGATGTACATAAAATAAGGTTTGGAGGTGATTGACATCATGATGACGTCAAATGTATATAATTATTTATATCCTCAAGTAATTTAGACTCAAAGACATTGTTCAAATCAAAACCTATTAGGAAACATTTTAACAGAGGATCAAAGACATTGTTCAAATCAAAACCTTTAGGGATGGGATGGTATAGGTCCAAAATGATAGATCAAAATTTTAGATGACAATATACATTGTATTGGGAAAAAATTTCCAAGAGCAGTAAAAATATATTTACATTATCTGATAATCATAATGCTATGAGTTGCTTCAAATCATGACTCCCATGTATAATCAATGTTTTAGAAAATGCTAGGGGGATATCTAATGTAGAAATGGTAGGTCCCTAGTGACTCAGGTAAGCATTATAGTCCGTGGGCCTCGTTTCTTGTTAATTTATGTCCGTCTGCATAAAGAAACTGTTCTGCAGACATTCTAGAATTATTAAGATTTGATTTTTATAATTTAGATGGTTATTCATTTATATTCTTTACATGTGCTTGAAATAAATAAGACAATTTCAAGATTGAACTATTAACATGATTAAATTGAGTATTGTTTAGTATTTTGATTTATTTGTGCAAATGTTACAAAATTACAGTCCAAAATTTAAAACCCAAAAATTAATAAATAGTATGTTTTTTTCCACTGCAGATGTATACAACACTGAGAAAGAATCCAAGAAAAAATCAAGTGAAGCGGCTATTCTGTCAGCACAGAAGAAACTGAAACCAAAGCCAGCTGTTAAACGACCTAATATCCTACAACAAAATACTCCACCAACCCAACAACCCACACCACAGCCCACTCTACAGCCAACTCAACCCCTGAAACAACCCACTCAACCCTTAAAACAAATAGTCCCAGCACTTATTCCAGTGCCAGGAAAAGGGGGAGGATCTATACCTATACCAGGGAACCTGCTCCACCCTGTATCACAGCCCCCACCCGGAACTCAGCTCCTTGTTCTTCCTCCAGCGGCACAATCCATGCCAGAAATTGCCAAAATTCTAAACACTTCCACAGTCACCAATATAAAAAGTATGGTTCCAAAATCTATAGAGACCGGGAGGAAGCGGAAAAAATATGAAAAAGATGGCCCTGAAGGCGAACCTCCGAAAAAACAACCCCCTGCTCCAGATATGCCATTCAGAATGAACATCAAAAAGTTAAATGCTGGAGCAACAAAGTCCACACTGATGACATTGAGACAATCACTGGAGAGCAAAACTGGCACTGGTTCAAACCCAGTAATTCTAGATAACACAGCACAAGCTTCCACATCAACACAACAACCCAGAATGATCTCCATCATACAGAAATTTGGAGATAATAAAAAGAATCCCAGTTATGGAGAAGTCCTAAAGGAGGCCATGAAGAATTCCTTGTCAGAAAATTCCTCCATATTGGCCAACAAGTTTGACATGACTCCAGAGATCACGCCTCAAGAGTATGATTTGTCTCTGATTAAAAAGGAACCGAAGGACACGCCCCCTGTTGAGAAGGCACCTATGGATCCTCCATTTGAATTGTTCTCTAAGTCTATCAAACTTAGTGAGGCCCCCACAGACATCCATTCTTTGTTCTTCAGCTACACAACCAGAAAAGTCAAGAAAATGGTAGGATTCTATTTCATGTTGTGGTAACAAAATGTGTAACAAAATTAGAAAACCACAAGTAAGAAAATATGATTTAAGTTTATGGTTGATTGCTTGAATATTGCCACATTTTGGGGACATGTTTGTTTTTAAAACTTGTGGACTTAATGTTTGAAAATTACATTTATGTAGGTAAGAAGAACCAAGAAGAAACCAGTTAGGCCAAGTAAACCCATTGTTCAAGAAATAAAAGAAAATCCTGATTCTAATCCAGAGCCACCAGAAAAGACGGACTCAACTCCAAAACCTTACAGCTTCAGACAGCGCACAAAGAAAAAGACATTTGGAGATGATTATGTAGAAGATTTCAAAGAAGAATTCAAGGGTAGGAGTAGAGGCAAGGTGGAGATGAAGAGGGAAGAAGAGGAGTTTATTGATGATGATAGGGATGAAGATTACAAGGCTGAGGTTAATGAGGAGGAGGAAGAGAATGGACACAATGCAGAGCTGGATGGTGATGAGGAAGACGACGACGATGATGAGAATTCAGATGAGTCCAAACCAGCAGAAGAAGAGGAAGAAGATAGAACCAAATTCAAATACTACGATGAGAGCAATCTGGAGGAATTCTTTGATGACCAGCGCCACACCACCAACAGAAACAGGAGAGGAGACTATAACTGCAAGTTGTGTCTGAACACATTTAAGTGGTCTATGACGTACGTACAACACATGGTGGATAAACATGAACAATTTCTACAGAACATGAGGGTTCACCAGTGTGTTTTGTGTGACAAGTGCTTCCTTGCTAATGAAGATTTGGCTGCCCATTACAGGAAAGTTCACAAACAGTTAGACTGCTTCATCTGTAAGAGATGCAACGCCACCTTTAATGCGGCACCAAGCTTCCACAAACATCTGGAAACCTGTGGTGAGAAGATTGAGAGGGAGGCAGAAACTGATGAAATGTTTCTACAACCAGGAAAAGAGGGAGGAAACAAGTCACCGTATACGTGTAATGTCTGTCTGAGGGTCCTAAAAACAGCAGAGGGGCTGGAAAAACACATGAAGATGCACGAGGATGACTCCTACCTCATGTAAGTTGACCTGTTGACTCTTTCTTCATTACTGATGAAAAAACAAGGGATATTTCAAAATCAGGACATGTATTGTAGTACTGTGAAAAAAAAAATTCAATTAGCTTTAATTGTAATACCGGTACATCTATTGTAGGTAGATTGATAGCAAAGACTATGATTTGTGTAACAAATTTATGAAGTTTAAATGTTTTTTTTTCTCTAGATGTGATATCTGTGGTGTTCAGTGTACCACAAAAACCAAGCTTAACAACCACAAAGCTAACCGCCACCACGCCAAGCTGGGTAAGATAGCCTGTCCTAACTGTGACCGCCGCTTTATGACTGTCTGGGCTATGTACCGACATAACCAAGAAGTCCACGGCTGTACCCAGGATATCTGTAAGGAGTGTGGAAAATTCTTTGACACAGAGGAACAACTGTTGGAGCATATCGGCCAGGTCCATCCCCACCTGAGTCAAGATGTGTCCCGATTCTCCTGCGAGGAGTGTGGTAGGTTTAATTAGGATTAATACAATGTAGTGACAATGAGAGAATTTTAGGACAACAAAAATTAATGATTTTATTACATTTTAGTTTTATTAGATACTACATGTGAATATCTCCATAGAGAACTTTTGTAAAGCTTTTAAGTGTTCTATAACCTCCGGCACACAATCGGGTGTTATGTATTATTAGTTGCATAGCACTGTAGTGACTGGGTTCATTTAGAGATATCTATCAAATATCAATGTTCTAATGATTTAGAGTTGTTTATTTTTCAGGTAAATGGTTTGAGCAAGCTCGATACCTGTATGTCCACTATAAGGAAGTCCACAGAAAACAGAGGTCAGTTTGTGGATATTGTGGAAAAGGCTTCTCCAATCGAGATGAATTCCATGCACACAAGAAAACCCATGACTTGTCCATCCCAAACACCTGTAAGATCTGTGCCAAAACCTGGAATACTCCAGAAGATCTAGAAAAACACATGCGCTTTCACGTGAGAGGTTTGTTGATTCCAATTTAATCCTTGTTCTACTTTTAATTTGATTAATTGTGAAATTGCATGTGCTTTTAAGGTCATCGAGTCCTATGATAAACTGCTAAAAGAAAATGCCACATGTAAAGAGATTTGTTCAAAATGGCTTTTGATATTAACCATTTAATTTTGGATGCATCTACATATATTTTCTAATTGCAAAGTATTTCTTTTTTGCAGGTAAAACACTTCACCAATGTGACATTTGTAAAGATGTTTTCATCCGCAGACAAGACCTTATAGATCACATGGTCAACCACACACAGACATTCCCATATGTAAGTACATCCACTGTTTATACATATTACTGTAAATCACTATTTGCGAGAACTTTATTTTCACGTAAGTGCTTGCAAAAATTTATTTCTTGTGTATAACCACACACAGAGATTAAATATGCAAGAACCTGGCTTCTGAAAATTTATGTCACTATTGCGTAATTGCACTATTTTTGCATGATAAACCATATTCCTTTGAAATTTTATTGTGTTTTAAACTTGAATTTGTTTTTAGATCTGCAAGGAGTGTGGGAAGGGCTTCAAAAATAAAGGGAAGCTGAAGGTTCACATGATTTCCCACGTGTCCCATCGCCCCTTCCAATGTGATATTTGTGGAATGTCCTTCAAGATGAAGGCAACCCTGGGCACTCACATAAAGCGACATAAAGAAGTCAAACCTTTCAAGTGTAACTACTGCCCTCTCCGATTCAAATCTGTGGAAGGATCCAGAAATCACATGCTCCATAAGCATATAACACCGGAAGAACTGAAATACATTAAGTTCAAGGTTTATAAATGTGAATATTGTAACAAACTGATGGGTCAGAAGCACATGTACATGCGGCATGTTCGCCTTCATACAGGAGAAAGGCCTTGTGTGTGTGATGTGTGTGGGAGGTCATTCACAATGCCAGCCACACTAAACGTCCACAAAAAGACCCATCTGGAGAGAAAACCCCATCACTGTGACACATGTAACTTTGGCTTTATAGATGCTCACAAGTTGGGGAAACATTTTCAGACAATAAGGCACAAACAAATGGTAGAGCAGAAGAAGAGGATCAAGCAATTAGCGGAAACTAGAGAGAGAAACATGATGAAGGCAACAGAGGAAACAGGGGTTGTAGACAGTGTCACGGTAAAACTGGAGGCGATGGATGATGTGTCCATATACGAGGGGCCCGACAGAACACAGATAAACCTCGGCAACGAGACGGTGGTGGTCGAGAGGGCGGCCGATGATCCCCCACAGAACGAGAGGCTCCAACAGGGGGAAATCAGCCAAACTGTGGGGATCCTTCAGGGTTTTACAGACACTAGCGGTAATTTATTGTCCCTGGTGTCAGTACCTGGGGGGCCATTTCCACAGCTTTTGTCTCAAGTTCAGCAGAATGCTGAACTATCCAATCAAATCATTGCACAGGGTGTTGATATAACCAATCAACTCATTGTTCCCAAAGAAGAAAATATGAATGCATGAAATAAATGTAGGTTGATACATTGTTGAAATATGTCTTTCCTTGATTATTTTATGAAGATTAGCCATGTACATGTAATGTCTAATAATAGGTTATAGACAATGTGTGGTGGAAGACTTCAGATTTTTGCATGCAAGAGGTATTGAGTTGAACATAAAATTTTTATGTCAATTTACTAGTTAAAATTTTTATATGTACCATATTTTACACGTATTTTTGAATTTGTTGGTTTCTATGTTGCATGAAAGGCAATTATTTTTCATGAATATTTTGTAGAGTACCAGTAGAATACCTGTTTTCATTTATAATGTTTATATGATTTATGTGTATATTGATTTCAGAAATGTTTCTCCTTTGTAAAGTAGAGGTTACCTTTTTTACATCAAAGCATTAATGGTTGTAAAGAAACAATGTCAAACAATTGACTTTTGCCTTTAGTTATAATAGAGATTTTATCCATATGTTTCTAACTGATTGTGATAAAGCACCAAAGGAAATTTCATGAGTCCTGCAAAGATTATAACTCTCTTAAATGTCAACTGCTTAAAATATTCCAGTGTTTGAATTTCTACAGCGTTTTTCTATGAGTAATTTTTTTTGGTACATGAATTTCAATGTTACATTCTAATACATCATTTTCATAAGCATAATTGTGATATCAATGTTGTAAATATGTATATATTTTTCATTCTGAATTATCATGGATATATATGCATGTTCCTTTTGTGTTCAAGAAGAGACTGTAGTTGTCAGTGTTTCAATTTTTACACATTTTTAATTCAATCTGAAAAGTTGACTATTATTTCATTTTAAAGCTTAGTTAGATTTATAAGAATTATTTACACCATTTTATTTTATGCCACATCATGCAATTGATTGTATTGAGTTATATAAAGAGATCATGCAGACAGATTTTTAAAAGTAGAAGCAAGAACTGTCATTTTTGGACATAACTGAAATTCACACTCTTTGGTATCAACTGTACAGTGCATTTCAAAAGCTCACAGATCTTCTCAGTCTGTAGATACTCTATGGCTACTAAAATGAGAGACGGGTAAAATCTGGTTTTAATTTCTTTTAAACGTTTTGGTTTTCTCTTCAGTGTGAATTATTCGAGAACCCTTTTGTAATGAAATTTAGCATAGCTATATACTAGATTTTGAGGATGTAGGTTTCTGTTAAAAATTGTTCCACACGCTCGAGAACCATTTGAGCTATTGCAATGAAATTTTATATAACAACTCCCTGTGGTGGCCTTGATTTTGAGGTCAAAAGGTCCGTAAATTTATACATTCTGTCTGTATGTAATACTATCATTTCCCATATGCAATGTAATTTTATGTAGCCCCTCTCAAAGTGCCCGCCCCGTTTGTTTTATTAGTATTTATAGTATTACATGGCGCTATTTTTAGCACAGGGGCATGAGGAGAGTTATTGCGTATAAAACATTTTTGAACTGTTTAATAAAGGCTAAATTCAAACACCATGGATTGTGTTGAAAACATGAATATATACATGTATGTGACTTCAGTTCTGCATATACTTCTATTTGTGTAAAGTGACTCCGTGGTCTAGTGGTTATGTCTCTCGCTTCACATGTGAGACGTCCCGGGACCGAATCTCGGACGAACCTTTCTTTTTTTTTTTTTTTTTTTAAATACTTTTTTTTTTTTAATAAATGATAGTATTGAGCATGTGAAATGAAAAATTTATGTGGTTATAAAATCATCATTACAGTGTGCATATAAAAAAATTATACACATAATAAAGAATAAGCAATCAAATCTTTGTATGAATACTGACATACATGTATTTTATTTCCTTCAGTATACATATATTTTAATTTTTTCATTTCCGACATAAGCTTGTTTTTTTTTCAAACTATATACAGATTGATGTAGGTTTCAATTGTTAGCTCACCTGAGCTATAATCTCCTGTGGCCTTTTCTGATCCAAAGTATCTATCCATATGACTGATTGTAGAGATTGATCAGGAAACCTCCAACATTTTTGACTTCTTGTTAAAATTATATTGGGTAAAAAATGTATCTCCTTTTTTTCGCTGCATTTCATTTCCGGAAATATGCGTAGCATTTCCGACATTTTTAATTTCATTTCCGACATAATTTTTTTTTCATTTCCGGAATTTACCTGTGCGGCAATTCAATGTTTTCCAAGTAAAAGAAAATGGAATTTTAAAAGTATTTATACCAAAATATTATTTGAAAAAAAAATCTATACATATATGCATACATGTAGCACTAAGTCTAGGTAATGCATAAAACTTTTCCAACACATTTAGTGTGCCCTTAATTAAATGTCAGTGAAAGCACCATACTTATGTCAAAGTCACTGATAGATTTACAAAATTGGATTTCAATGATTTATTTATGATTATTCCTTTAAATTTTTCATTAGTAAAGTTATCATATCTGTTACTATAGGTACTACATATGTATTTTAAAAATGTTGGAAATGAAAACTAAAAAATTTCAGAAATGAAAAGTTGATAATTACCAAAAATTCCAGAAATGAAATGCAGCCCTTTTTTTTAAAGAAATGCTGGGCATCAATTAGTCATAATTAAACACAATTGTCACCATGTAGTGAAGAAAGTTATTTTATATAGAATTGGTGGCTCAGGTGAGAATTGTGTCTTTATCATAATTTTAAGTGATAATAATGAGTATTATCTTGTATGCCGACTTTGTATCTTTCACAATGAATTTCTTTGTATCTTTGACAATGATTTTCTTTTCTCTCCTCTCTAATTGTTCAATACAGCATTCCAATCCCTTTGATTTGTTGAAAAGTAATTAAAGAAAACTTTATTTTTATTAGCCATCATTAAAAGTTGAGAATCTTACAAAATGAGTTTGTTATAGTGGGTCTAATTGTGTGTCATGCCAACTGTAATGCAACATGGTAGAAAAAGATCAAATGTGGAAAATTCAGCTGAGTGAGAAATATATGGCCAAACTTATGCAAGCAACTTGCCAATTACTGTAGATGTAATTCATTGGCATGTATGATATTTTGCAGAAGCGCATTCTCTAATGTTCTTATTTAATATGCTTAAGCCTAAAACCACCAAAATTTGTGACCCACCAAAAAATGGCTGTACAATACATGTATGTGAATGACATATAGCGTTGTACTTGAATTAGTAGAAGTATCCCTCACCCAAAAGTGTTTGAAAGATTACACAGCCAAATGTAATACGTTTAGAAGTTGTTTCCCTGCTCCTGAAGCCCAATGGAAGGGGAGGGGAGAGAAATTTTGGAACATGCTTTATCCCTTCATTCAGAACTGGTTTATCTGGTCATAATCAAACTTCACTTGACAGATGATAATCTGGGAATGGACCTACTCTAGAAATTGTAACTGGTAATTTATCTGGAAAAATGTAGGTCAGAACCAGCATCCATAACAATCTTTGGTAGTGTCCATTCCTAAATGGAGTCATGAGTGATATAGCAGATTGGCAATGGTGTACATGTATGATAAAATTTTTACAAGACTTAGTGGTAATCAAAGTACCGAAAGCACTCATGGGAGTTGAACATGGTGTAAAATAAAATCTTTGATCGGGAGGTTAAGTAAGTGAACAATATTATTATTTCAAATACAGACAACTGTTTCAGATTTTTTGAGTTGCAACAATCTTGAGAAAGACATTCAGAGACATTGAATAGCAAAAAAATGCATAGACCATAATGCTTGCCTGCCTACATTAGTCCTTTTTTTATTCCCCCTGCTTGAAAAGCTAGAGGGTATTTATTAATCGGGATTTCCGTCCATCTGTTTGTTACGCTTTGGGTATACCCATCTCTTATCCGCAACTCCTCTTACACCATTGAACGAAATTTTCATAGAATCTTTATTACATATTGCCGTTGTGCACTTTTTATTACTTTTTCATCCTACACATATTTTAGGTTTCCCATTGCAAAACATGGACACTGCCATTATATTCATATTAGAGGCGGTTGATCATTTATATAATTCACTGCTCACAGTCTTCAAATTTGTAATACATTTTTCCTTGGCACCTTTACCCATGTGTTATGAAAATTTCAGTTTCGCAGGAATAATATCAATGTTGATAAAATGTGGACTTTCACACAGCATCCTTTTAAGAGGCAACAGGTTTGTTATATAAAACTTCTCTGTGAATATAAATGTATTTCAATAACACAAACATTATACATGGAGTACGTCAGAACTTAATCTTCTTTAATATTGTGAAGAAAAAAAGGAATACCAATTTAAAAACAAATATTTAATGACCAAACATAAAAACAGTGGTATATGTGAGAGTTTGTGTGCGTACAAATTATCTTGTATGTAAATGAGGTTTTCCTTTCATTAAAAAAGATATATACTTCATTTTTTTGTTTTTAATCGCGATTTTACGAAACAACAGAGTACTATATTTACCATTTTTGTCAGGTTATACTGCTTATTTAGTAATAAATACGCATGTTTCCTAAAGTTTTTATGCATTAATGAATTCATTCAAACCAAGAAAATGTTCATGAAAAGTTTGAATAGATTCTGTGCACCAGTAAAAAAGAAATTGCTAAAAACCCGGGACCGTCGGGCGTCGCGAAGACTAGATTTACCAGTATGTAGAGTTGTATCTCTATCAGTGTATGACGCTACACTAAAAATGAGTTCCATTACGAAAAACTTTTGAGGTTCTTTATAATTTAGTTTTACTTTGAACGAAATCTAATATTCAAAATAAGATTACTTTATCATTACATTTACTTACATTTCAAATTATGAAAATTAGATCAATTCAGGAGAAAATGACATGAACTATTTGTTGCTGATGTTTATAATGCATGTTTTCTGTTGAATATCATCGGAGTAAATCGGTCAACACAGTAGCCTCGCTTTCGGCTCTATATAATCAACACAAATTACTGCGCATGTTAAATGCATGATGACCATGGGAGCTTGAACATAGTTCAACTCCCAAAAAGAAATAACAAATTTTGCATAACAAATGGCACTTTATTATACCTTAACATAAACTCACACAAAAACAGTTCTAGATTTACATGTATTAAAAGGACAGATACATGACATATAGACCCTAACAGAGATCTAAGAATTATTTGATATCAGAGAGACTAGCAAAAAAATCATAACAACCTCATGCAGCATGGAATCTCATTATAAGATGTAAAGCCTTAGAGATAATGAAAAGCATTTACAGGAGATACCATAACTATATACCTGAGATTCAGTTTTTATGATAAAATAAAGAAAAAACATAACACCTTAATTTTGTTTTTGTTGCCCAAAAATTCTGGTGTGCACAATCCTTTCCCTGCTACCTAATATACTACACACTTCATAGTAAGGTATTTTCTTATCCAAAATATATTTCAAAATGAGATCATTTGACCTAATTTTGGATGGCAACAATCCCCTCCCTGGTTCCTCAACTATCAAGATTTGATGACCTTAGACAGCTTACCAGATCTGACAGTTACTCAAACCTCACCTAGACACAATTTGAATACAATACATGCATATTAGCCATAAACTTTAAAATAAGGTCACTCTGACCTACTATTAGATAGGGTCACAGTTTCCCCCATGATGCACACACAAGAGGTTTGCTGTTCCTAAGCTCACACTGCACTGGTAAGATAAGACCCAGAGACAGAAAAAGGATTCAATCAAGATAGGCATACAAGATCTTGTAAGAGGATCATATTGCTGCCAAATTCTAAACTATAAAATTATAATATTAAAAATTATAAAATAAATGAATGAAAAAGAATGAAACACATATAAACGTAGTTTCACTCTGAATTGGTTACAGTTTTACTTTTCAGAGATACATGCATGTTTTTTAAATTTATATTTTTTGTAAATAAAATCTGTGACAAAATTGCAGGAAATGTAAAATTGAGTCAAAAAAAAAAAAACACCAACAAACCAGAAACATAATAGAAAAAAATATCTTGACAACAGAAATAGATTTAGGCAAAATTAACTTCAAAGCATGTGCACTGTTTCATTGTCTGGACCATTACTAGATTCTGTTCCATTCTGAGAAATATCACAGAAACACTTAAAG